TTCGCCATGTGGATTTCTCTCTGGCGGGCCAGGGATCAAACTCGTGCAGCAGAGGCTGCGGATTGCTTCATAGTGCGGTGCTTAACCCCTTGCGCCACCAGGGAGGCCCTCACACACACTTTTCTTAATGTCTGACCCTAACCGGAAAGCACACAGATGGCTAAGAGAAGGGCTGCATGATAATGAGCATAGACACTAACCACATAGTTAATTGAAATATAACTTTAATCTTCCCTATCACACCAAATTACTTTATTTCCCTTCTTCACAAAACTATCTGGCAATATAATCATGTGATTTAAGAACTGAGTAGAAACAGCAGAAATATCTTGATAGCCTCCATGTTAAAGTGAAAATCTTGGGGCCTCCCTGGTGGCACAAGTTGGATCCCTGGCCAGGGAGCTACCCACATGGCTTAGCAGACCTTTCCTGACTCGCCCACTTCTCCCCTCAGCAGTGTACTTTGGTCAATCTGCCTGTTCTGTTCCCTGCTCTCTCTGGTGACTCCTCTCACCCCCAACCCCTCTGCCCTGTACCCCTGTTCTTGTACGCATAAATAAATAAATCTTTTAAAAAAGTGAAAATCTTGTCATCATTATTCCATTGGGCAAAATAATAGTCAGGAAGTGGAAGAATGACTCCTAAGAACCGTAATTAAAATACATAAATGCTCTCTGGATTGTATTTCTGAAGTAGAGCAGATAGGGCTCTTTGTCTTTTCTTATTAACTATCTAATAATCCAAGGGGAAAAATCACTAGATTCACCTTGAAAATAAAAAAGAACATGGGATTTCTTACCACATTATAATATCAGTAACTAAACAGAGATCAGAAATTGGCAGAGGGGGCAGTCATGATGAGAATAGGGAATAGGAAGTGAAAGGAATATCTGGAACAGGAGAGGAAAGCCCCAGATGAGCTCACAGTTAATGGAAAGATTTTTAAATCAGAGAATCAGATTGAAAAGGAAAAAAGAAAACAGGCAAAGAGTTAGGTATGCAAATAACAGGCAAAGAAGATATTAGGTAGAGATTGGAGAATCATACCCTCTGTCAAACTAAATCAAATGGAATATATTAGGGTGGTTCAATATTTTTTCTGTCTCAAGGGTACAAACGTCTCTGCATCTCTTATAATATTGTAGCAATTTTAAGTAGATCTGAACTACCAGAGGAAACTCATGGGTATGGGGAGACTAGTTTCTTATTTAATCATTTTGCTAGTAGCTTTGTCATAAAGTTGGCAATATATTTACTCAAAGACAGATGACTGCTGTCTGAAATGGATGCCTAAGCTATGGTAAGCTTAATGTCAGGCACCTACACTGTAGCTTCCCAGCAATGCTTTGCCTGTGGTTTTTTTCTGTCTATGAGAGTTGTTTAGCCTAGTAGTGCTAGCACTTCCAGAAGTGCTGCTGGAATATCCTTCAAATAAAGAAGGGCAGGAGGTGATGGATAAAAAAACCAACCCCTTTGCTCTTGAATGAGACAATTCTGAGGTGGTCTACACAGCCACATCTAGGGTCCCCAGAGGATAAATTTGATACCCACAACTGTAACCTTCTCATTAAAGATCCTTTCCTTTTCCTTTTTTAAATTAATGTACCATTGGTTATCAATACTATGCAAGTTTCCAGAGTATCCCTTCACCTGCATCTGTTCCTCCCAACCCTTCACCTTTTCCTCCCACTAACCACTCCCCTTTTCCTCTGGTAGCCATTTGTTGTCAGAGAGTTTGTTTCAATTTTGTTTATTTGTCTTGTTTCTTTATATTCCACATACGAGTGAAAGCATACATTATTTGTCTTTCTCTTTCCGACTTAATTCTCTTAGCATAATTCCCCTCAAGCCTCATTCATGTTGCTGCAAATGGTAAGGGTTCATCTTTTTTTTTAATAGTTGAGTAATATTCTGTTGTGTATATGTAACATATGTTTTTTATTCATTCATCCATTGATGGGCACTTGGGTTGTTTCCATGTCTTGGCTATTGTAAATAATGCTGCAGTGAACATAAGTTTGCATATATTAAGGAGCCCTTTCTTGATTTCTCTTCCCTGTCCTGTTTTCCCACTTCCTCAACATGTTTCCTGGGATACCTTCTGAACAAATTACTTGCACCCAAATCCTTATCTTAATGTTGGCTTTTGAGGGATTCGAAAACTAAAATAAATCTGCAACAAGACATTAAGGATGTTGTTTTCTATTACTATTTCCCTGATCTTATCATTCTCTTCAGAATATTCTATGATCCCTAAAGTTATTAGCCAGGGAGAAAATATGGTTTTGATCCCATGAGAATAATTTTGTTATTTATCAGAGTGAATAAAGACTGAATAATAATCAGATTATGAATAAATCAGATTTGGGTGTAAAACCAAAGTAAAATTGTTCATTTATTAAAATTTTTTGGGAAATCTGAACCCAACCATTGTTGAACCAATCATTTTAAGCTCATTTCCAAAAGATTTGTATTAATATTAATATTAATTCCCTATATTGACACAACCTATTCTTGCCCAAACCACTTACCCTCTCTGGAACTCCATTTTTCTTATTTGTGCAAAGGAGATAATCATGCTCACCAGCTCCTTCACAAGGACGTTGTGAGGATTAATGAGTTAATGCTGGGGAAGCACATTATTGCCTTGGATGAATGTTGCTATATAAATGCAAATTATGGCATTACAGTGAGGCTTAAATGTACAAATGCAATGACTTTTAGATCCTAGATTCTTTCATAACACCAAGAAGTAATTCTAATCTGAACACTGCTTCCTCAATTTTTTTGTTGAGGAGCAAAAGCAATCAGTGTGAAGGGCAGCCAGTTTGCTTTTCTCCAGACCTTCTCCCTGTCTCCTGTCACTGGTTATATGAATGTTCTCTCCTTGCTACTGATTACATCATCCCTCCATCACCTTCTGTGCTACTAGGTGTTCCCATCACTCCTGGAGCCCTTTGAGGCTTATTTAAATGAACTATCTGCTTCTATTAAAAGAAAAATCATTCCATATCTTACTTTTTCAATACGTACAACATCCTTTTTCCCCCTAATTCATCTCTTTGGAGCCTGACTAAGTGAATTGTGGACAGTATTCAAAGAGGAGAGGAGTCAAGTTCTGATTAAATTATCCCCTACATAAAAGTTGAGTGGCTCCAGTGTCCACATTCCTTAGCTTGCACTTTGCATAGGCTCATTCCTAATCCAAATATGGAATTCTTTCCATCCCTTTGCCATTCTTACCACACAAAGAAAAACCTCTTCTCTTATTCACCTTACAGCTCAGAAGACCTGAATTTAGTTTGGTTTTTTTTTTTTTTTTTTTTTTTTTTTGGTCATTTACTCCCTTTGTGATCTTGTATAAATTCTTTCCTAACGTAATTTTTTTTCATCTTCATGTCTGCATAGTACAAAATCCAAAAGGTTCAAGAATATAAGCAAGTCTTCCTCTATATATCCGGTCCCTCACCCCCAGAAGCAAGCACTAGTGGCTGCTAGTGAATCTTTGTAGGTACAGTCTACTCATATACAAAAGCATATATACGTATCCACAAAATAGCTTGTTGGGATTTTGATTGGGATTATATCAAATCCATAGATTAAGTTGTGAGGAACTGATTTCTTGACAACATGGAAATAATCTTCTTTCCATATGCATGGAATTTTTCTCTATTTAAATCTTATTTCTTTCACCAAGGTATTGGAAATATTCTCACGTGGATCTTATCAAGATATTGTTGGGTTTATACCTGTTTCACAGTTTTGGTACTAAAGTAAATGGTTTTGCTGGATTTCAAATTCCAATTCCTCACTATTAGTACATTGAAAAAAAAACTGACTTTTATATATTAACCATTTATTCTGTAACCTTGCTATATGACTTATTAGTTTCCAGAGGTTTTTTTGGTTGATTCTTTGAGATTTTTTTCATAAACAATCATGCCACCTGACAGTTTAATTTCTTCCTTCCCAGTCTGTGTACACTTATTTCCTTTCCTTGTCTTGTGGTTTTTGCTAGGAGTTTCAGTGTGATATTGAATCAAGTGGTGATCTTTTTAAGAAAGAATTGTTTCTCAATGTATTAATTTGCTACCATAACAAACTACAACAAACTGGTGGTTTAAATAACAGAAATTTAAATTGTGTCACAATTATGGACTCTAGATGTCTGAAATCAAAGCATCATGGGTTGGTTTCTTCTGAAGTCTCTCTCCTTGGTTTGTAGATTGTAGTACCTGTTTTCTCCCTGTGTCTTCACATGGTCTTTTTCTTTACCTGTCTGTGTCCTAATTTCCTTTTTTTATAATGACACCAATAATACCGGATTAGCCCCCAGCCTAATGACCTCATTTTAATTTAATTACCTCTTTAAAGGTTTATCCAAAAATAGTCACATTCTGAGATCCATATGAATGCAGGGTGTGGGTTTCTGGGGGAGAGGGGCCATAATTCAGCCTTAACACTCACCATTAGGTATATTTATTTAGATGTTCTTTATCAAGGTGAGGAAGTTCCCCTATTAACTGAGAACATATGTATATATATTATTTAAAATATCACAAAGTACTCCATTAAGTGATCTTTTAAAGACTAAAATCTAATCTCATCACTCCATTGTGTTTAACTGTTTAATATTTTCCATTTCTGTTATTTCCTACATGGCCTTTGCATGATCTGATTTCTCCTAACTCTCCAGCTTCATCTTGTGCCACTTCCTCCTTCTTTCTCTTCTCTCAGCATCCTGGCCTGCTCTTTTATTTTTCTTCCGCAAAAATACTTTCTGTGTCACCCAGACTAGATCACAGCCTCCCTACTATATATTCTGTATGTAAACATTTATTATAATTGTAGTTCTATATTTTTATGAATTTTTAATGAATATCTTCTTCTGTCCATTACAGGGCAGGGTGAGAGGCACCCCAGAACCACCAAACCTCCCACTCTAAATGGGTTCTGCCATCCACTGCATAAAGACAAAACACATGCTACTATGTAAGACCTTCAGTGGAAAGGAACTTTAATACAATTAGTGTGTAATAAAGAGAAGAGAAAGTATATAGTTTAAACAGTTTCAACTTAAATACCCCAAATTACCCATCCCCTCATGGATAGATGTCCAGCCACAAGGTTGGCCCAAAGCAGGACTGGGGAAGTCCAAAAGCTTGCCACAGTCTAAGACATCGTCTGGTAGAGACCTATAGGCAAAAGGCAGAAGGGGTCAGTCAAGGTTGGAAGGAAAGGAGCAAAATCAAAACCCAAGTCAAGATAAAGGCTGCCATTGTCAACCTTCCCACAAGCCTCTTACCCACATCTCTGTCTCCCTTTCAAGAGACTTCTTCTCTGTCCCCCAAGTCCCTGGTACAAGTCCAAGGCCAAACAAGCTCAGCTTCTTTACATGTCTCTCTGATCCATGTGCCTTCCTTCCTTCTCTCTTTCTTTAGGTTCTCGCAGCTGCTCAGCTCTACCCTTCTTTAGGGTGGGACAGGGAACCTGGAACCTCCCCTTTCCCTGGGGATTACCTTGTTAAACTTCCACTCTCTGCTATAAGCACCATGAGGAAGAGACTGTATCTGTTTATATGTCATCATTATATCCTTGTCAGTGTATGATAAATAAATATGGGAAATTAGGCCAATTTTCATTGATCCACTCTTCTTTACCAAATTCTCTAAACCTATTGAATTCTGTTATATGACTGTGTTTTATAACATATGTATCAGAGTTTTTTCTTTGTTCCACTGAGGATGATTCTGGGAAAACAGAAGCAGCAACATAGTTTTCAAATCTCTAAATCAATGTAAAAACAGAGCAAATTTGCATAAAAAGCCAAAACAAAACCAGCAGCCACAGGCCTACAATTGTATCTGATTCAAGCAGGAAAAAAGCAGAGTGAAGCAACAGGACTCTGACAAACCAGCAAATAGATGAACCCACAAAAGCTCACAGGGGTTCACCAAAAAGCACAGAGGGCCATCTGAAACTGGGAAGCATCTTGTCCACTGAAGCAGCAGGTGAGGACAAGGGGCATGTCCCTTGCATAAGTGGGCAAAAGAAATGCTAACAGTTATAATCCAAGAAACCTGTCTAAAATAAAAAGCAATCGGGCCTCCCTGGTGGCGCAAGGTGTTAAGCACCGTACTATGAAGCAATCCGCAGCCTCTGTAGCACAAGTTTGATCCCTGGCCAGCCAGGGAGCAACCCACATGGCGCATCAGACATCTCCTGTCTCACCCGCTGTTCCCCTCAGCAGTGTACTTCGGTCAGTCTGCCTGTTCTGTTTCCTGCTCTGTCTCTGGTGAATCCTCTCACCCCCCCGCATCTCTGGCCTATGCCCCAGCTCTTGTATGTATAAATAAATAAAAAGCAATGTAAGGGGGGACTCCCCGGTGGCGCAGCGGTTGAGCGCTGGGTTGCGAAGCTGCCCACAGCCTCTGCAGCGCCGGTTCGATCCCCGGCTGCTCCCCGGCCACTGGAGGAGGGTCCCACATGGCGCGCAGACCTCTCCGGCCGCCCGCTGCTCCCCTCAGCAGTGTACTTCTGTCCTTCTGCCTGATCTGCTCCCCGCTCTGGCTCTGGTGAATTCTCTCACCCTCCCGGGCTTCTGACTGTACCCAGTGCATGTATAAATAAAACAAACAAACAAATAAATAAATAAATAAAACATGCCTCTAAAAAAAAAAAAAAAAAAAAAAAAGCAATGTAAGGGGAATATAAAAATAAAATTTAAATTAAAAAAAACATTCACCATGACCATATTTTTTAGAATTTAAGGAAGATTATCAGAAAATATTTTACTCTGAGAAAAATGGAATGCCTGGAACTTACTAAACAATAATATTAACTTATTCATAATTAAAATTAGGAACATAAAAGGACTTCCTCTATTACCTAGAATTTGACGTTACAAACTGCATGAAATGCTTATTTTAATAGAGACGCGTGGTACATCTGTTAGGGGGAAAGGATATTCTGAGCTAATCCTATACAGGCTTTGTGGACTCAACCCCCCCTCCAGACCAAAGCCATCAGGACATTGGGAAAGACAAATCCCATCACCACCAAAGGGAAGGTGGCAGGGACCTGAGGGTGGAGTTAAGCAGCCAGGTGTTGTATAAAAACCGAACACGTGGGCCTTGAGGTCACTCTCTCGCCTCCTGGCTTCAGGGCTCCTGGCTCGCAGCCAGCTCTCAGAGTACCATTTGGGATTCCAGATTGGCTGATTGGGTAGAATGCATTTAAAACTTTGTCTCCCACTTTTCTCCCTGAGTTGTGCATTTCCTCATTTGCCCTTCCCTTGTAAATAAACCTTTTATTAACCTTTCACATGTGCCTGCAGTAGAGTATTGATAAGTCCTTTTAAGCACGCGGGTGAGGACACACAGTCAGGCACCCCATTTTGTATCGGGGCTGCCCTATAACACATCAATTTCAAAAATAAAGATGACCAGTGTGTCTGCTATTCAGTGTTGTATCTTGTGTAATAAAGAAAAATGATGTAAATAGATAGATAGATAGATAGATAGATAGATAGATAGATAGATAGATAGATAAAAAGCAATCTACAACTGCATGTTGAAAGCACATGTATCTACCTCAATCTGAGAATCACCAACTGAAGGCATACACTAATAAAATTACTGCACTTGGAAGAAAAAATTCTTTGGGGATCTAGGCAAAAGCAGCAAATGATATAAAGCAAAGAAAGTTAGATTATCATCAAACTTTGTCCACAAAGATTTTTGCCTAAAGAAAATGAGGTAATATATTTAAGATACTCAAGGGAAAAATATATATGAGTCAAGGACTTTATATCCCACCAAACCGACTAATAAATATAAAGGGGCAAAAGCAAACTGTTACTAACACACAAAAACACTTGAGTTTTTTATGTTGTTCCCATTGGACTCTACCTGCAGAATCTACTAGGGAATGAGCAAACAATCAATGAAACCAGAGAAACACAGACTGGACAACAGTGTAAAAGCACTCACATATCCCAAAGCTATCTACACCTTGGGTAGGTGTTTCTTCATTCGTTATCCTGAGAATTTTAAAAGGTGGTTTCAGTCTTGAACATTATTTCAGATAAATGTTCTAGTGTTATTTCTTTGAAAATATCCTCTCCTACATTTTCTCTTTATGAAGTACCTATACATCAAGTTTACTCTCCTGTTATATCTCATTGCCTGTTTATTATATGTTTTGAGAGTTTAACTTCCTCGTCCAACTGTATTGAAAGCTCTTATTTATCATATTTTATTTCTAAAAGCTTTCTTTTGGTTTTCTTTTTAATTAAATACTATTATATGGATGGAATATCTTCTCTAATCTCTCTAAGGATATCATAAAGTTTCTTCCTGCTGTTTAAAATATGTGTTTTCACTGAACAAAAACAGACACACACACCAATGGAAATGAACAGAAAACCCAGAAATAAAGCCACACATATATGAACAACTAATCTTTGACAGAGGCACAAAGAATATGCAATGGAACAACAGGACAGTTTGTTCAATAAATAGTGCAGGGAAACTGGACCAACACATGCAAAAGAATGAAATTAGACCACTACCTCACACAGTGCACAAAAACCAACTAAAAAATGGATAGAAGAATTGACATAAGACCAGAAATCATAAAATATAGAGAAGAAAACAGGTAAAACACTACAAGACATCCATCTCAGTAACATCATTAAAGATTCACCCCCAAAGCAAAGAAGGTGAAGGAAAAGATAAACAGCTGGGATTACATACAAAAAAATCTTGTGTACAGCAAAAGAGACATTAACCAAAACAAAGAGACACCCTACTGATTGGGAGAAAATTTTTGCACTCCATGCAACTGACAAGGGGCTGATCACAAAGATCTACAAAGAGCTGATGAGACTCAACAAAAACAAAGTAGGGGCCTCCCTGGTGGTGCAAAGGGTTAAGCACTGCACTACAAAGCAATCCGCAGCTTCTGCAGCATGAGTTTGATCCCCGGGCGGCTGGGGAGCAACCCACATTGTGAGGCAGACCTCTCCTGTCTCGCCCACTTCTCCCCTCAGCAGTGTATTTCAGTCAGTCTGCCTGTTCTGTTTCCCACTCTGTCTCTGGTGAATCCTCTCACCCCCTGCATCTCTAGCCTGTACCCTAGCTCTTGTATGCATAAATAACTAAATCTTTAAAAAAAAAAAACAAGTAAACAATCCAGTCAAAAATGGGCAGAAGAGCTAAAAAGACACTTATCCAGAGAGGAAATGTAATTGGCCAACAGGCATATTTAAAAAATGTTCATCATCACTTGTAATGAGGGAAATGCAAATCAAAACCACAATGAGATACCCCTTACACCAGTGAGAATGGCACATAGTAAAAAAAACAGGCAACAACAAATGGCAAGAATGTGAAGATAAAGGAACTCTCTCTACACTGCTGGATGGAGTGCAAACTTGCCTAACCACTATGGAAAGCTGTATGGCAGTTCCTCAGACTACTAAAAATGGAGCTACTATATTATTCACCAATTCCACTCTTAGGAATCGATCCAAGGAACACAAAAAACATTAATTCAAAAGGATCCCTGCACCCCTATGTTTATTGCAGCACTATTTACAATAGGTAAGATATGGAAACTACCCAAATGCCACAAATAAATGACTGGATAAAGAAGATGTGGTATATGTAAATAATGGAATACTATTCAGCAACCAAAACAGATACATTCATGTCATTCACAGCAACTTGGATGGAGCTGGATGGGATCATGCTCAGTGAGATAAACCAGAAGGAAAAAGAAAAATATCAGACAATTTCACATATAAGGGATCAGGAAAAAATAAATAAACAAAATTAATAGGCAACTATAAATCTGAGACATTCTGCAGGGAATAGGGGAGGGAGAGGGATCAAAACAGGGGTGCGAAAAGCACCTTATTATCACTATGGTGATGGTGCACAGGTGAATTGGTGGTGGAAATTTTATGGAGACTACGCCTGAGAAGAGAAAGCAAATACTGTACAAAAATGAACAATGATGTAAAGTATATAAATAAATAAATTTTAAAAAGTTAAAAGTAATAATAAAATAAAATATGTGTTTTCCTTGCAAGCTGGCCATAGATCTGAGCATACCGTGGAGGTGTGGAAGGGAGAGGAGTAAAAAGAAGGGAGGGAAGAGCACGAGGGACTGTAATGACCACAGGTGCTATTGTGGTGGGAGAACTCTGGGGACTACACCTCAGGGGAGAAATCTAATACTATCCAAAAATTAACAATGATGTAAGAAAATAAATTGAAATTTAAAAAGTAAATAAAATAAAATTCGTATTTTCTCTCAGTTGCTTTTCTCTGTTTCAGTCTCTGAATTTCAAGATACTGACTTTCTTCCAATGTTTGGTGACCTTTGATTGTCCTTTCATATTGAATTGGAATACTAAAGAACTGACTAAAGTTCTGTGTACACAGACGGGTTTGACCACCGTAGGCCACCTGGGCAAGGTCCCTGGTGATTTTAAGACACCTTAAAAAAACATTAGTCTGTGTAACTTTTTTTCCCAACTGGAGCATTCCTATTCCCTAGAGAACTGTCTTGTGTTTTAGTTTGGAAGTTTTTTTGTTTTTTTTTTTTTTAATTTTTTTTTTTAAAGATTTATTTATTTATTATTCATGCAAGCACTGGGTACAGTCAGAAGCACTGGAAGGTGAACGAATTCACCAGAGCCAGAGCGGGGAGCAGAGCAGGCAGAAGGACCGAAGTACACTACTGAGGGGAGCAGCGGGCGGCAGGAGAGGTCTGCGCACCATGTGGGACCCTCCTCCTGTGGCCGGGGAGCAGCTGGGGATTGAACCGGCGCTGCAGAGACCGCGGGCAGCTTCGCAACCCAGTGCTCAACTGCTGCGCCACCGGGGAGGCCCCTAGTTTGGAAGTTTTAACCTTAGTTGCTACCATTCTGGAAGATGGTGGCCAACAGTGGCATGGGTTGGGAACTCAGCTTGTCAATGGGCGGCATCTCACCTGTTCTGCCTTCTGTACGTCCTGCCCCTGAGCCCCACCTTCCATTCTTCTTAGTGTCCTCAACTCTGGACCTTCTCTAATTCAATTTCTCCAGATTAAAAACCTCTCTGGTGTCCTGCAGAGGCTGGAAGAAAGATTATTGCCAACTATGAAACATGGGCAAGATAACTGGAATCTGTTTTACATACAGATTTTCAACTAATCATTCATTTCAGTCTCATCATGTATTCTTACCTTCTAATGCTCTTGGTGCCTCCAGTAACAAACCTTGCCTGTTTTGTTTTGTCTTTTAGTGGATGCCTGAACACAAGGTGGTGGTCTTTGTGTACATTGTGAGGGATATCTGTGATTTTCCTTTCTGTGGTTTAATGGGAAATGGATGCAGATTTTTTGTCATCCTGTTATATGGGCATGTGAGTTTACAACTTTTTCTGTTACTCCTCCCTCTGTTTACTGTTTTCCAAATATTTTCTGACATCACTAGTCCATTTTCTCTGTTTATCTTTGTTCTTATAAAATTATACACCCCAAATTTAGATTTGGTCACTTTAGTTGTGCCTTAGGAGAAGCAACTATAAACAAACCTGTTCAATGAATGCTTAAAAGAAAGTCCTCCTTTCTAGTTCCTTTTTTTAAAAAAAGATTTATTTATTTATGCATACAAGAGCTGGGGTACAGGCCAGAGATGCTGGGGGTGAGAGGATTCACCAGAGACAGAGTGGGGAACAGAACAAGCAGACTGACTGAAATACACTGCTGAGGGGAGCAGTGGGCGAGACAGGAGGGGCCTGCCTCCCCATGTGGGTTGCTCCTTGGCCGTCTGGGGATCGAACTCATGCTACAGAGGCTGTGGATTGCTTCACGGTGCGGTGCTTAATCCCTTGCGCCACCAGGGAGGACCCCCTGTCTAGTTCTTGAATAAAAGTGTTGTATTACTTTCTGTAATAGTATCTTCAGAAATGGTGCTCCCTCTCTGCAGAAGGCTCCTTCTCCTTTCATTCACCTGACATTGTGGAGTGAATTTTATGTCCCTAAAATATATGTCCAAGCCAGTATCTGTGAATGTTACCTTATTTGAAAAAAAGATCTTTGCAACTGTAATTAAATTAAAAATCTTGAGGTGAGATCATCATGGAATTAGGGTGGGCCCTAACTAAAATGATTGCTGTTCTTCTAAGAGAAAGGAAAGGGAGATTTGAAACAGACACAGAGAAGACCCAGCTGGGAAGAAATGGTGAGAAGATGAAAGCAGAGATTTGAGTGATGCCACCACAAGTCAAGGAACTCCATCCAGGACCCACTAGAAACTGAAATAAGCAAGGAAGCACACTTTCTTTGAGCCTTCATATTGATTTCAGAATTCTGGCCTCCAGAATTGTAAGAGACTAAATTTTTGATGTTTTAAATATCCAAATTATTGTAGCAATTCTAAGAAACTAGTACACTTGGATAATTTCAACTCACTCTGCAGGTCTCTGCATAAATGTCACACTAATATAGGTCCCCAAAATTAGTTTTTTCTAATGTACAAACTCATTACTTGCCTTTCTAGTATTATTACTATTTTTATTGTATAATTATTTATGTACTTGTTTTGTATCTATTGCTCCTAAGGTATATCTCAGTCTGGTTTATTCTTTTATCTTCAGCCCCTGACACAGTGGGTTTGTGTATAGTAGATGCTCAATTTGTTGTAGAGCAACCCCGATACAAAACGGGGTGCCTGACTGTGGGTCCTCACCCGCACGCTTAAAAGGACTTATCAATGCTCTACTGCAGGCACACGTGAAAGGTTAATAAAAGGTTTATTTACAAAGGGAAGGGGAAATGAGGAAATGTACAGCTCTGGGAGAAAAGTGGGAGACAAAGTTTTAAATGAGTCCTACCAGATCCGCCGATTAGGAATCCCAAAATGGTGCTCTGAGAGCTGGCCGCCAGCCAGGAGCGGTGAAGCCAGGAGGCGAGCAATCGCGAGCCAGAGAGAGCCCAAGGCCCACGTGTTTGGTTTTTTATATCCAACCTGGCTGCCCAACTCCACCCTCAGGTCCCAGCCACCCTCCCTTGGTGGTGATGGGATTTGTCTTTCCCAGAGTCTTGATGGCTTTAGTCTGGAGTGGGGGTGGAGTCCACAAAGCCTGTATGGGATTAACTCAGGACATCACTTCCCCCTAACAAATTCATTCATTCATTTATTCTTTCACTCATTCATTATTTTAGAATATCTTCATTTTTTCCAATTCTACCCATTCTTTTTTTCTTTTTAAAAAAATATTTATTTATTTATGCATACAAGAACTGGGGTGTAGGCCAGAGGTGAGGGGGGTAAGAGGATTCACCAGAGACAGACAGAGGCAGATCAGGTGGATCTACTGAAATACACTGCTGAGAGCAGCGGGCAAGACAGAAGAGGTCTGCTGCACCATGTGGGTTAGCTCCCTGGCCAGGGATCAAACTCATTCTGCAGTGGCTGGTGATAGCAGTGTCTATAACCCCTGCGCCACCAGGGAGGTCCCCAATTCTACCCATTCTTGAGAAAATGAGAAAGGTCAAACTTCCTTGCCTCAGATGTTCACAAAAACTGATATTTAATTTGTACTCCAGGACTATCCACAAGAGCCTTCAGAGGATAGGTGGTAGGCACAATTCTAAGAACCAACATCCAGATGTAATCCCATCCCCTCTAGTGTATGCAAATCCTGTAAGTATAGTGGAATATCACTCCTGTGACATATTGCATTATAAGGCAGAGGTGAAGGGGTTTTGAAGATATAATCAAGGAGTCAAATCAGTTGACTTTGAGTTAAATGATAAGGGATTTCTGAGGTGGGCCTAATCTAATCAGATGGGCCTTTCAAGAAGTTAGGCCTTTATCTTGCAAAGAGATGCTTTCCTGCTGCTCTTGATGAGAGAAATCCCATGAGTCTGACAGTCCCAAGGAAATAAATTCTGCCAACAGCTACATGAGCTTAAAAGAGACCCTCCAGCCTAGATGAGAACTCAGCCCCTTCCAACACTTTGATTATAGCCTGAGAGAACCTAAGCAGAATGCCCAGTTGCTCCATGCCTTGATTTTTGACTCACAGAAACAGTGAGATAAGTGTTTGTTCAAAGTCCCTGAGGTTGTGGTAGTTTGTTAAAGAGCAATAAGAAATTAACAACACCTCATTTCTCTACTCTGCCTAGGTTTTTTCCTTCCTCAGTTCTGCTTTCCTCAATCCCTTACCACTTTCTTCTGAGAGCACTTGAACATATCACTTGCTCATGAATTCTTGACACCGGGTCTCCTTCTGGGAGCTCCAATATGTGATACTCATCTTCCTTCTCAAGTACATCTTCAACCTCTGCTTAAAAATTACCTCTAATTTTCCTCTCTCCGTTCCCTTAATTTTATTTTTGCCATCAAATACTCCCTTCTTGAAAAATGTAGCTTCAAAAACACGGCTATGGTCACTTCCTGCCTCATTTGGAATGTGCATAATTGAAGAACTTGATAATGAAGGACACTATTCTATTCCTCTTTCTCAGCAGTAAGGCTGAATAATAAAACAGGCCCATCTAGTCTGTTCCATGGGAGTGCAGGCAGAGCTCCATTGCATAAGACTATGAAATGTAGAAGATAAACATTAGGAGGGTGTCCATGAATATTTTCAGCTTGGGCTATATTAATATATATCTAAAATCTAAAATGGGACATCAAATTAGTGACACTATGCCTAAATCAGAATTCAAGGAACTGAGCATTTTTTTTAATGCATAATCAGAATAACTGAGTAAAAAAAGGAAGTAATATGAATGGATTAAATTTTTAGGAGAAAGCAGTGCCTCAAACTGGTTTTCACACATTCCGAAAACATCATTTATGGGTGAGTTTGACTCATTAAAAGGAACCAGAATGTGGTAAAAAATAAGATTTGGCTCTTTCCAACTTTCTAGTCCATTTTCCCATTCAACACAGGAATTCCCTCAATTCCATCCCTCATCAATCTTCAGACTACTCTAATTCAGCTAGCACTTAAGCGATAGAGAATTTGTTTTTAAACGACTCTCATTGACAGAACCTTCTTTTCCATGGTGAATTTTTTATATGACTAGCATTTGGTCCTAGTTCAAATATAGAGCAAGCACCTAGGAGCTTAAGTTTTTTATTAGAATATAAGTGCCTGACATTAAGCTTTTTGATTGCTAAGACATCCACTTTAAAGACACTTATCTCAAATAAACTCATTGCCAGCTACATGATTCAGGGCAACTGCCACTAAAGTTTCCTTTAGAGACCCCTCTTTGACTTAGACGACTAACCATTTTACTACTTGTATTCCCTTCCCCAAAACCTTGGGCATCCCACCTTCTATCTCAATAAAAGAAGAATGCCAAGCCCATGCTCACTCTCTCATGACCTGTGATCTTGTTGTGTGGCCCCAGGAATGCCATATAAATAAATATAATAAACCTTATTTTTCCCAAATTTCCCTGGTGGTCCTTATAGAGGTACATCTTGCAATCATAACAAGAACCACAAGGGTAGGTTCAGTCACCACATTGACTCTGAAAGGGGCAATGTCTGAGGGAGTACACCTCAGGCTGAGGTGAATGCTTCCAAGCATTTCTTCCCCAAGGCATCATCATCAATAAATTGAAGAGAGATGTGGATGTCTATGCGAAAACCGAGTCTACCTCTAATCTTCAATTCCAACAAACAAACATAACTCACCTACACTCACTGCTTCAAAATATAGGCAGTCAGTCTGATGTGTTTATTGAGGATCTCTACCTGCTTGCAGCTTCCCCACTAGAAATAAAGCTTGGTCCTGAATTCCAGCCTGGTAGACTACAACCCAGATTCCCTTCATCAAGTTTATTCTACCTGAGTCCCTCCAAGACTCTTGGTATTACTTCCAACTTTTACTGGAACTTGGCTGCCTCAGGAGCGGGAGCTTGCAGTAGCAGCAGTGTTCTCTCACGCTGCTGCTCGACCTCAAGTCAGTTGTGGCAGTTGCTCCTCAGAGCCTACCAACTGCCCTTTTATGTCAGTGGTGACAGTTGCTCATCAGAGCCCAGCAACCACCCTTTTGCTTCCTGGATCATGGGGTGGGCCAATCAGGTCTGAGCTATTAGCAGATTGGTGCCAAATGGTCCAATCAGACTTGTGAGCATGACACCCTGAAAGAGGATATAAGGCAGGGTCAGAGGAGAAAAAAACAGACTGTTCCATCCTCCAAAGAGAGAAGGGGGAGACTCTGGTCCTGGCTCCAAAGAAAGAGGAAAGAAGGAGGACCAGAAGCTAAAGAAGAAAGAAGAAAAGAAGCATCCAGCAGTTGACCTCTGTCAGAGACTGGGTTTCGGGTCCTGTCTCTGACATTGCCAGGAAGGAACACCGAAGGCTCCAGGACTATTGTCACAAAGAGCTGTTAATACTTGGTGTCTCTGATACCGCCTCAGAGGGACCAATAGTGACCATCACTACTGGCCAGTCTCTGTTGACAGGTGACCAGTATTCTGCCGGTGGGTCTGGTACACACTATCTGGGTAAAATATCCAGCCACTTGTGGCTACAGCAAGCTCTTTATTTATCCTGTTTGAAAATAAACCCCATGGAGCCTGAGGTCTCTTGCAATTGTGCACGCAGGTGAGAACCCACAGACAGTGTCTGACAAAGGACAGGGCTATAGCCTTTGGTTGGCTATAGCCTATAAGCCCTATTGTATTGGTATTGTATTTCTGTAGCACTTGGTTTTATTTTTGGCCTTTTGGGGCTTTTTACCAACTGTCTTACAGAGCCTGGGCAGGAGAGTGGTCATTTCAGCCTATCCCGGTATCCCAGTCTCCTAACTCTACCACCCCTGTTTCACAATGATTCTACTCTTGAGACTTCCTGACATGGTCCTGGAAATCCACTTAATGCTAAGAATCACATCTGTTCAGAAACTTTGCTCAAAGTTCTGTGTCCATTGTTCTCAGAATCAAATTTCTCCTCCTGGAAAGTAAAGCTGACCTATACTGGGCTTTGCTGATTGACTACACACGACTTTTCTTCAGGGGGAGCTAATGCATTGTCAAATTCTTGTCTTGGTTCTCTGATGTTACTTACTTGAATGTCCCAGCATGCCATGCAACTCTGGTTGTGAATTATGACATATGACTGAAAGAATGTTAGAACTTAAAGGAATCTTAAAGATCATTTTGTACAGTACTTCTCAAATTTTTCTCTGAACCACACATCTGAAGGAAAAACACAAACAATAGCAGTGAATGCCTTCTTTCTACAGACAAAAAAGAAACTCAGAGGCTAAGTGCCCTGCCAAAGACTTTACGGCAAGTTATGATTAAGAATTACCTAACATATGGTATAAATTTTTACATATAATTAAATTCACATTCATTTGGATCTTTTTCTGTTAACTTGGGTTTACTGCCAACCTATGAGAATTTTTTTTTTTTTTTTTTTTGTATAGAGGCATGTTTTTTTTTTTTATTTATTTATTTGTTCATTTGTTTTTGTTTATACATGCACTGGGTACAGTCAGAAGCGCGGGAGGGTGAGAGAATTCACCAGAGCCAGAGCGGGGAGCAGAACAGGCAGAGGGACCGAAGCTCCTCCGGTGGCCGGGGAGCAGCCGGGAATCGAACCGGCGCCATAGGGGCTGCGGGCAGCTTCGCAACCCAGCGCTCTACCGCTGCGCCACCGGGGAGGCCCAACCTATGAGAATTTTAAGGAACAATGTACACATGGTAGAAATTAACTTAAAAATCATCTATTGACCTATATCAGTGTTCTTGTTAGGTATTGAAACAATAATATTAAATAATTTTTTTTTTTTAGAGGCATGTTTTATTTATTTATTTGTTTGTTTGTTTGTTTGTTTGTTTATACATGCACTGGGTACAGTCAGAAGCGCGGGAGGGTGAGAGAATTCACCAGAGCCAGAGCAGGGAGCAGAGCAGGCAGAAGGACCGAAGCACACTGCTGAGGGGAGCAGCGGGCGGCAGGAGAGGTCTGCGCGCCATGTGGGACCCTCCTCCGGTGGCCAGGGAGCAGCTGGGGATTGAACCGGCGCCACAGAGGCCGCAGGCAGCTTCGCAACCCAGCGCTCAACCACTGCGCCACCGGGGAGGCCCAATATTAAATAATTTTTTTATTATTTTTCCAGTTTTGTTGAGATATAACTGACATTGTATACATTTAAGGTGTGAAATAATATTATTTGATGTACATATATATTGTGTAATTTTATCACAATGAAGTTAATACATCTTTTACTTCACACAATTACCATTTTGTTTTTTATAGTAAGAGAGAATTCTTTACTTAGGTTTACAAAAACAAGTTAACAACTCTACTTGAATAGAAATTGTAGTCTTGATGGACTGACATCATTTTTCAGATGACTAAAGTTAATATGGAAAGTCTGATGAAGAAGATAACATTATGCATGGAAACCAAGGTCAATGTGGTTCCAAGCCAGAATGATGAGTTGTACTTGTCATTTCAAAGAACAAAATCACATTATAGTAAATTTTCCTCATTTTCTTATTTTAACAGCATGAGATTTTTAATAAATGCTTAGCAATACAAAAAAAAGATATGATTGAGAAAGAACAAGATTGACTATAAAAGATAGTGATGAGACTGAATGTGAATAGAATTCCTCAGAAAAAGACAACAGGGCATCTCAAGCTGAATAAAGAGTTTTAAAGAAAGATGCTTAGGGCACTGTATTAGTACGGTAGAGCTAGCTTTAATAGTAGATTACAGACTGGGTGACTTAGAAACAGAAATTTATTTTTCACAATTCCGGAGACCGGAAGTCCAAGATCAAGGTGTCAGCAAGGCTGGTTTCTGTGGCGATCTCCCTTCCTGGCTTGTAGACAACTGTGGTGGAATTTTATGGGTACTATACCTGAGAGGACAAATCACCAAATATTGTACAAAATGAACAATGATGTGTGTGTGTGTGTGTGTGTGTGTGTGTGTGTGTGTGTGTACTGGGAATGTCATATATACCATGATGACTGTAGCTAATACTGCTATATGATTTATATCCTAGAAAGTAATTAGGAGAGTAGCTTCTAAGAATTCTCATCACAAGGAGAACAAGACATTTTTTTCTTTCTTTTTTTATCTATCTGGGATGATGAATGTTAACTAAACTTTTGTAGCAATCAATTAACAATATATGTAAGTTAAGTTATTATGCTGTATATACCTGAAACTTATACAGTGCTGCGCATCAATTGTCTATCAGTAAAACTATGAGGAAAAGAAATTATTTTCAACTGTTCTACAGTTAGCACTATTTACAGAGGTAAAATTATAATTGGAGGGCTTCCCCTCGTGGCGCAGGTGGTTGAACGCAGTGCTGTGAAGCCGTCTGCAGCCTCTGCAGCGCGGGTTCCATCCCTGGCCAGGGAGCTACCCACATGGTGCAGCAGAGCTCTTCTTCTCGCCTGCTGCTCCCATCAGCAGTGTATTTCAGTCAGTCTGCCTTTCTGTTCCCCACTCTGTCTCTGGTGAATCCTCTCACCCTCCCACACATCTGGTCTGTACCCCGGTTCTTGCATGCATGAATAAATAAATCTTTGAAAAAAATAAAAAATTATAAAACTTATAATTGGAGAATTGGGTTTTGATGTTAAGGCAAATTATGCCTAATAACCCTCCTCCCTGACATTCACTCCCTACCCTAAACTAGGAGATATTTCCTCATTAGATCTGATCTTTGGGAGATGACATTTAAGGTATTCTGATGCAAAAATATTGGATTTGATATCACACATCTACTGTTTTATACTAGATACTTTTCCTGAGTTACAGTGGGTAGCATTCTTCTATCTTGTTCTATGTTCCTAACTCAATCTTAGTCACCCTTCCAGGTAGCAATCTTTTTAGGATTGGAGACTGGAATTATTTTCAAAAGACCATTCTCTGCATATTTTTGAAAATTTCACATTTCTAGAAATAGAAAAGTGCAAAAGAAGAGTCATTCTGAAGAGAAAGAAGCCAGTAAGAATCAAATTACAATACTTCTTCAGGTGAGAATGAGAAACACTTACTTTATGACTAGACATAACGAAAGGTATGAAAGATTCTTTGGGGATACTTAGTAATGGGCTTTTCAGACAGGGTGAAATTGCATAAAGTTTACACAATAATATTGTCAATAAAGAATTCCACAAAATGGGCCTCCCCGGTGGCGCAGCGGTTGAGTGCTGGGTTGCGAAGCTGCCCGCAGCCTCTGCAAGCTGCTCCCCGGCCACAGGAGGAGGGTCCCACATGGCGCGCAGACCTCTCCTGCCGCCCGCTGCTCCCCTCAGCAGTGTACCTCGGTCCTTCTGCCTGCTCTGCTCCCCGCTCTGGCTCTGGTGAATTCTCTCACCCTCCCGCGCTTCTGGCGGGAGGGTGCATGTATAAACTGTACCCAGTGCATGTATAAACAAACAAACAAACAAATAAATAAATAAAAGAATTCCACAAAGTAGAAATCTCTGACCAAAATTAAAATATAAGAGTTACCAATGAAAATAATTTTTCTCAAAAGCAAATGCCTGGGCATATTAAGTGATTCCTCCAAACAACACTAAGATAAAGGATAAATTAAAGCTAAAATTATATAGTAATACTGAAAAAAAACTGAAATTACAGATAATTTAGATTATAGCAACAATCTCACAGCATCAAAACTTTTGGATATGTAGCTATATTCAGAAAAAAGGTCAATGCCATACATATGTATATAAATAAGAAATACTGATCAATTGTGCATTTATCTAAAGAAACAAAGTAGGATAAGGAATGTTCTCAGTATTACACTAAAGTAAAAAATACAAAACAAAACATGGAGATAAGTTTTGACAGGGTGGACCACAAAATTTATTTTTAAACTTCTTGAGAAAAATATGCCATTAATATAAATAAAAAATGACAAACTGGAAAAAATGAAACATATGGAAGAAATATAATTTCAATAACAGATAAAAGTATCTTTTAAATTAATAAAAGCGAACAAAAACTTCAATAGAAAAAATGTATGGGGATTAAATAATCAAAAAAAA